ACAAAAGCAACATCATTATTAGAGTCCAAATCTAACATAATCAAACCATTTTTAAAATAAACATAACAAAAAAGTGTGCCATCAAGAAAAATAGACAAATTATAATTCTCAAAAGTAAAATTAATCCTAAATCCATTAATGTTAAAATTGAAAATAGATTACATCGTACAAACGGAGTATGAAGCATATCATGTAAGAGCCATTTTTGCCCATTGTGCATTGTGAGTTGGTAGGTTCCTACTCCTAGGACCTTTTCATGTGCTCCATTCCTTATCATGACAAAGTGTCAACTTGTTGGTAAACGATGGTAATCTACATATCCTGCACAATTGTAGGTTATGTGCTTGGCTGCTCTTGTATCTACAATCTAACCAAGGAGAGAATGAGATATAAACACATGAGAACATACATAAGTTCCAAAGCGGTTTAAAGGATGAACATTCTTAAGCTTAGTGCATTTCTAAGCAAAATGTCCCTTCTTACCATAGTTAAAGCATTTCAACTTGGTCTTATCTTTTTTTCCCACTATAGTTGCCTTTTTGGCACTTGGTGACTCCATCACTTTTGGGCCTTAAATGTGTAGTTTTTCCCTTCTTTTATTATCTTTTTCGTTGAGGAACATACCTTTTGCGATTTTCACCTTGAGCTATCAAGGTAGTGTTGTGAATAGTTTCTCTATGCTCTACCTCTAACTCTAAATGGCGAAAATGTCATCAAAAGTTTTGATCCCTTCATTGTGTGGTAATACAAGCTTCACATGTTCCCATGAAAACTCAAAGAGTGACTGAATCACAGCTAAGACCTGCTACTCATTTGTGAGATCATAGCCAGCTGCTTTCATCTCTCTTATCATGGCTGACATAACCCTTAAGTACTCAGTCATAATTAATTGAACCTAAGTGTCAAGACACAAAGCCTCGTAAGTGTGGTTTCGCCATACTTGGATTTTAGTTGTTCCCATAATTGTTTGGTAGTTGGGAAGTTCTCAAACTCCCTAATGAGATCATTGTGAATGTAACTTAACATGGCAAAGAGCGCGCTATGATTTCTTTTATGCCAAGTGTCATAGGCCTCTTGGTCACGACAATGTTAAGCAATGTTTCCAACTTCAAGTGGGTTAATCTCTTTTGTCAGAAAATCAAGCAACTCTTGCTCATTAAAAAGATACTGAACCTTGTTATGATATATATGATAGTTTTTTCCATCAAGTTTGGCACCTTTGGTGAAATCAGCAATAATTTATTTTGAAGCC